CGCTGCTGGAGCTGTCACTGTCCCAGCCAGCTCCAGTTCCCCACAGCACAGAGGGGACACGCAGGTGGGTCATCGTGACCACGCAGGACCCCAAGAACCTCATTCAGGGCATCAGCACTTGGGGTACACGAGACCCAGGAGCAAAAGGGAGAGAAAAGGATCGTGCACGGAGCAGAACCACTTATTTTCCGAGAGGAATATGGGATATTTCTGCTCTTGGTAGAGAAAAGGCTGCTGAGCTCAAACCGGGCTGCACACGAGGGCAGCTTTCTCCATCTCCGGGTACCAGGATGCTGGAGCATCACCTTGGGGCTCTTTTCCTGCCGGGAAGATGAGGGTGGGCGTGGGCAGAGGGCTGCCCATCTCGCCCCGGGTGGGCAGGGGTCCCTACACCTCAGCCCCTTCCCTCCCTCCATCCCCCAGGTCTGGTTCCAGAACCGACGGGCCAAGTGGCGGAAACGGGAACGTTACGGCAAAATCCAGGAGGTGAGAGGTGCCACCGCGGCTGCCTGCCCCAGCCCTGTGCCCACCCCAGGCAGGGGGTCCCACTGCACCCGGGGTCCCTGTGGGGTGACCCACATCACCCATTCTTGCCCCTTTTTCCTTCCCCACGGGCCCTGCGGTTCCACCCACCCTCTGGAAAATCACGCAGCACCGGATGGAGGAGGAGGAAAAACACAGCATCCCATTTTGTGACATGCAGGAAGATGCTGCTCTATGTCCCCCCTCCATCTCCCATGGGAACACGCCCTTTGGGGCAGGTTTTGGGGTATTCCCCCCCCAAGGAAACCCCTTTAACTGTCCCCCCTTTTTCTGCGAAACTGTCCAGATTGGGGTTTTTTTTCCCCCCAAACATCAAAAAGCATAAAAATAATGTAAAATTCAGCATAAAAATAATGTGAATAATGTGAGGGGGGATGCCGCCCTCTCCCATGGCCACCCTGCGTGGGGGGAGGAAGATTTCGACCAGGATTCAAACCCCCCCTCCCCCAAGCAACTAAAATAAAGCAAAGGCATCACTCGCTGTGCACCCTGGGGGGGTGGGGGGATGCAAGGGGGGGGATGTGGTGTCCCCCCCACATCTGGCCTCCCCCTGCTTCACTTTGGGCTCTTTTTAATTTTTTTTTTTTC